CCCAAACCCAAACCCAACCCCGAACTGAGTTGTGGCTCACTATATTTACCTCAATATTAATATACTTTTTTGTTCTGATAGCTCATAAATAACTCTATTTCTCTTCCTCATTCTCTCCTAAATTTGAGAATTGAGCTATTCTATCTACTTTGCCTACAGAAAAATACTTTGCTCTTCGTTTGATTTTTAGAGCTTAAGAGAGAGATATATGGTAGAAAAATTGCCAAATGAATCCAAATAATTATTAAAGGAACAAATACTTCGCTCCTTATCTTTTACTAAAGCTAAATTGATAATGGTTTACCCACCCCTCCCCCCTCCTATCCATAATATTGCAAGTATTCACAAATTCTTAACAAAACAATTTATGTGAAGCTCAAATATATAGAAAAAAGAAATTACATATAATTTGAGACCTGGCACTGAATAAAGGTCTATGGCTATTTAAAAAATTAGAAGAACGAGAGAAACTTGTTCAAGGTTTAAATATAGAAGGAATAGGAATATTAGTCACTTAATTGATCTCTATAAAAGTTCTCTTCATGAGTAGGAATAGTGTTTGAAATAAAAAAGAAAAGATATTTGAAGGTTATATTTAATAAATCTAAAAATAAGAATATGCAAATTGAAATGTTGAAATCTATTAAATTTATTTATTTTTAATTTAGTAATATACTATTCAGAATGTATCAGTTTTCAACTCATTCAATTCAAAGTTTTTTTTTGGTTTTTAAAGATATTAATAACAAATGAATAATATTTTGATATTATTATTATTATCAATAACAATGCATAAAGACAAAATCATAAATTAATTTAATTCAGACTTAAAAAGCATTACTAATTTTATTCTCATTTAGTAATTGATTCCTCCAATAATAAACACAGAAAATAAAAATTACATAGACTTGCTTTCTACTTTCTATTAGACTTTTATGTTTGGTTTATGTTAGCTTTGGTCAAATAAAACCTGGCAAAGAATACTTCAACAACCAACTTCGATATTTCAACCGTTAAGAATGTTGTTTACTTCCTAAGAGGTTAGCCTCCTTTGCTAAGATAATATGAGAAGATATTATAAATATTTTTTTGTGTGTGAGTATCTTTAAAGATTTGATATTCGAATATTTATAACTTTGCTCAATAAGAGCTTATTAAAATTTGGCCCTTAAATATTAGATTATATTAAATTCGAATTGATTAATTACAAGATTGAAATGTATAAATTTGATTATGATAAGAAAATTAAATAATAAAATGAATTTATGAGATTCTTAATAGATTTAAAATAAATCAAATTTTCTTTTTATCCATCTAATTATAAAAGAAAGTAATTCTGATTTTCATTAAGTATATAATTGAAAGATAAAAAATGCAGATATTAACAATTAATTATTATTTTTATTTTTTTCTTTAATTCTATTTTATTCAGTTGATCTTATATTTTATTATTATTCAATGATTTCTATTAAATCTTATTACAAAGCTTTGTATCAATAGTAATATACTATAAATTATTAAATAAGGTTTATTTATAATTTAGAGTCATTAATATTTATTAATTTATTATATGATTATAAAATAAATAATTATCCAAATTACTTAGATAATCATTTTAATAGATGCTTTAATGTATATCAAAGATTAAAGAGTATTGAAATCTTATTTTAGTTGGACATATAGAATATGAAATGTATAGTATAATTAATATTAAGTATTAATTAAAATTCTTTATTATTATATTTAAATTTGGAATTATAATTATGATTGCAAATAGGATGAGACAATTCATTCCTTATCATTTTTATTGTTTATATATTTGATCATCAAAATACATCAAAGTCTCTAAACACTCTTTTATTTAGAAAATATCTTAATTCTTAATTATTTGATTATAAAATTTTTATTTATCTTAAATAAAGTACATAAATAATCAAAAATAAAATTAAATAATGTAAGACGAAAATTAAGTAAATCAGATGGAAGAAGAAGAGGTTAGAAGTATATGCGAAGGCTATTATATAATCAAAAAGCTGGGCATAGGAAAGGATGCAGTGTAAAAATTGATTATAAGTCATAAGTGTTAAATTGGGACAAAAAGGTCATGAATAAGTAGCCATTAAGTTCTTGAAGGTCAAAAATGAATAAGAAAGGCCTGAAATAATATAAAAACTATAATAAGAGGTTTAAATTTTAGAACAACTTCATAACCATGATGGAATTGTAAAACTTAAATATTTTAGTGATAATCTTACCTACATAGTAATTTAAATTCTTATAAGTAGAAAAAAAATGGATAAATTGTTTATAAAATTGGTANCTTGCTTTCTACTTTCTATTAGACTTTTATGTTTGGTTTATGTTAGCTTTGGTCAAATAAAACCTGGCAAAGAATACTTCAACAACCAACTTCGATATTTCAACCGTTAAGAATGTTGTTTACTTCCTAAGAGGTTAGCCTCCTTTGCTAAGATAATATGAGAAGATATTATAAATATTTTTTTGTGTGTGAGTATCTTTAAAGATTTGATATTCGAATATTTATAACTTTGCTCAATAAGAGCTTATTAAAATTTGGCCCTTAAATATTAGATTATATTAAATTCGAATTGATTAATTACAAGATTGAAATGTATAAATTTGATTATGATAAGAAAATTAAATAATAAAATGAATTTATGAGATTCTTAATAGATTTAAAATAAATCAAATTTTCTTTTTATCCATCTAATTATAAAAGAAAGTAATTCTGATTTTCATTAAGTATATAATTGAAAGATAAAAAATGCAGATATTAACAATTAATTATTATTTTTATTTTTTTCTTTAATTCTATTTTATTCAGTTGATCTTATATTTTATTATTATTCAATGATTTCTATTAAATCTTATTACAAAGCTTTGTATCAATAGTAATATACTATAAATTATTAAATAAGGTTTATTTATAATTTAGAGTCATTAATATTTATTAATTTATTATATGATTATAAAATAAATAATTATCCAAATTACTTAGATAATCATTTTAATAGATGCTTTAATGTATATCAAAGATTAAAGAGTATTGAAATCTTATTTTAGTTGGACATATAGAATATGAAATGTATAGTATAATTAATATTAAGTATTAATTAAAATTCTTTATTATTATATTTAAATTTGGAATTATAATTATGATTGCAAATAGGATGAGACAATTCATTCCTTATCATTTTTATTGTTTATATATTTGATCATCAAAATACATCAAAGTCTCTAAACACTCTTTTATTTAGAAAATATCTTAATTCTTAATTATTTGATTATAAAATTTTTATTTATCTTAAATAAAGTACATAAATAATCAAAAATAAAATTAAATAATGTAAGACGAAAATTAAGTAAATCAGATGGAAGAAGAAGAGGTTAGAAGTATATGCGAAGGCTATTATATAATCAAAAAGCTGGGCATAGGAAAGGATGCAGTGTAAAAATTGATTATAAGTCATAAGTGTTAAATTGGGACAAAAAGGTCATGAATAAGTAGCCATTAAGTTCTTGAAGGTCAAAAATGAATAAGAAAGGCCTGAAATAATATAAAAACTATAATAAGAGGTTTAAATTTTAGAACAACTTCATAACCATGATGGAATTGTAAAACTTAAATATTTTAGTGATAATCTTACCTACATAGTAATTTAAATTCTTATAAGTAGAAAAAAAATGGATAAATTGTTTATAAAATTGGTATGATCTTAGAATTAGGAGAAAAAGGTACGATGATTTAGTATTTGCTATCACTTAAAAGATTTGACGAACAAATTTCAAGATTTTATTTTCGTTAATTAATGACAGCATTAATTTATATGAAAGGTCTTAACATTTGTCATTTGGATTTAAAACCAGATAATATTGTGTTTGACTCAGATTTTAATTTGAAAATTACAGATTTTGGATATTCTAAATAAGTTTAAGGATTGATAAACGACTTCTTTGGAGGAACTAAAAGTATATTAAAAATTTTAAATTTTAGATTATATGGCACCTGAACTTTTGGGTTCAATAGCCTATGATGGATCAAAAGTTGATGTTTTTGCTGCTGCATAAATATTATTTGCAATGATGACTGGTTGTTTTGCTTTTAACAATTGTAAAGAATAACTATATAATCTAATTAAATAGAATGATTATGCCTAATTTTGGAATTTTTAAAATAAATAACATTAAACACTATTTCCATAAGGATTTCCAGATGATTTTAAGTATTTTATATTGTTCTATATTTTAAGAGATCTGATTAATAGGATGTTTGATTCTGATTTCAATAGAAGAATAACACCTGAAGAATGTTTGTAACATCCTTGGACAATGGGTGTAGAAGCTAAATTAAATTAAATACAAGATTAATTCAATTAGGTATAGGAAAGAATAAATCAATAATTGGAATAATAAGAAGAGGAACATAAACGTAAAAAATAGAGGATAAGAGAATAAGAAAGAGCAGATTAAGAAATGAGGAATTTATTACAATAATCATAATAATCATATAAATCAGGAAATAGTTAGAAAAAGAATCCCATGATAAATAAAAAAAGATAGTTAATGAAAAAATTCAAATTTACTTTTGAAAATAGAGTTTTAAAGAGGAGTCTGCCAACTAAAATGATTGATGAGATTTTAATTTATGATGACCCAAAAAATTTGTTTTGTTCTATAATTGAACATTTTGATAAATGCGGTAAAATTATCAATATACATGAAACTAAATACAAAGTAATAAAATTAAATATTTTAATTAGCTAAATGTTAATATTATGGAAAATGATTAAGAAAAACAAGAAATGCTGATTGAATTAAAAAAACTTGAAGGTGATAAGTTAAGAGTTGAAGTTCTCAATTTGGGAGATGACTTTATAAAGTTCAATGAAGAAATTTAGAATCTTAAATAGTCAATTTAATAACAAACAGATGAGGTGGAAATATAGCAATAATGAATTTATTAAAAAAAATTACAACCACCATAAATTTTAATAATAATTTTAAAATTAAAACACATTGTGAAATGTTTAATTAACAAAATAAATCTCATTTCAAATCAAAGTTCTTTGTACAAACCTTTTAATTAGAAAATATCTTAATTCTTAATTATTTGATTATAAAATTTATATTTATCTTAAATAAAGCACATAAATAATCAAAAATAAAATTAAATAATGTAAAACGAAAATTAAGTAAATCAGATGAAAATAGAAGAGATTAGAAGTATATGCGAAGGCTATCATATAATCAAAAAGCTGGGCAAAGGAACTTATTCAGTGTATAAAATTGATTATAAGTCATAAGTGTTAAATTGGGACAAAAAGGTCATGAATTAGTAGCCATTAAGTTCTTGAAGATATATAATGAATAAGAAAGGCCTGAAATAATATAAAAACTATAATAAGAGGTTTAAATTTTATAATAACTTAATAACAATAAACATCCAAGAATAATTTAACTTATAAAATATAGCGATAATCTTACCTACAAAGTAATTAAATTCTTATAAATAGAAAAAAAATGGATAAATTGTTTATAAAATTGGTATGATCTTAGAATTAGGAGAAAAAGGTCATATGCTTTCGTATATATAAGAACTTCAAAAATTTGACGAACAAACTTCAAGATTTTATTTTCGTTAATTAATGACAGCTTTAATTCATATGAAAAAACATAACATTTGTCATTTGGATTTAAAACCAGATAATATTGTGTTTGACTCAGATTTTAATTTGAAAATTGCAGGATTTGGATTTTCTAAATAAGCAAATGGCCTTATAGACGACTTCTTTGGAGGAACAATATGTATATTTACAATTTAAAATTTTAGCTTATATGGCACCTGAACTTTGGGATAGAATAGCCTATGATGGATCAAAAGTTGATGTTTTTGCTGCTGCATAAATATTATTTACAATGATAACTGGTTGTTTTGCTTTTAGCTATTGTCAAGAATAACTATATAATCTAATTTAATAGAATGATTATGCCTAATTTTGGAATATTTAAAATAAATAACATTAAACACTATTTCCATAAGGATTTCCAGATGATTTTAAGTATTTTATATTGTTCTATATTTTAAGAGATCTGATTAATAGGATGTTTGATTCTGATTTCAATAGAAGAATAACACCTGAAGAATGTTTGTAACATCCTTGGACAATGGGTGTAGAAGCTAATAATTTGTAGGAAAGAATAAATCAATAATTGGAATAATAAGAAGAGGAATATTAACGTTAATAATAAATGAGGAGAGATTAAGAAAGAGCAGAATAAGAAATGAGGAATTCATTGCAATAATCATAATAATCATATAAATGAGAAGGATGAGAAAGTAAAATTAAGTGATCATTATTTAAAATAAGAGCATACATAATCACTATATTGTTTTTAGTCATTTATTAATGATTCCATATGTATTTTATAATTATTCATATAAAAAAAGAGTTTTGTATCTATTGATAAAATATATTTTATAACTTGTTTCTAATGTTTATTGTTAGAATCACTAAATTTTGTTGAATTAAAGAATTCGAATTTATTTTTGAAGATGAATTTTGCACAACCAAACTTAGACTCTAATTTAATGACCTAATCAATTAATTTAGTTATTTAGTATTAAGAATTTCTCCAAAGGAAGAACGTAATTTAATGAAATTTGAAAATTGACAGTTTTTAATCTTATTCTACTGATACTGATAATCTTCAGGTTATTTGATTGCAAAATTAACATTTGAGTTTACAAAATATTCCTTCTATATCTCCCAAAATTATTAATTGAACAATTTTAAAAACCTTAAAATATGATTCCTCCGAGATTCTTTCGAAGATCTTAACAAATAAAATTCAAGATTTCCCTTTATGTAAACATGGACTCTTTCAAATTAAAGTATATCAAAAATTAATTAAATAGTCTTGTGATTTGATTATTTAAAAAACTATAAACATGTAAATCAGATGCTAAAGTATATACATATGTTTTACAAAACAAGTACTTTTTGTAAAATATTTTCTTCTTTTTAGTCATTCTGAATATATTTATTTTAAATAGAATTAAAAAATAGTAGATTTATATAAATATTAAAACTGTTTGAAAAATTCTTAAACTATAAAGCTTTTTGCCACCAGAGATATAAGTTTCAATTGTTCCTATTCTATTTTATCATAGTTTATAATAGCACTTTATAATTTTAAGTTATTTAACTTTTGAGAATCTTTATAATTCTAATTCAATTTTTGTTAAGGATTATCAATATAAACTCTTTATTTAATAATTCTGATTTTATTTAAAAATAATGAATTACTAAAAATGAACTTATAAAGATCATGTTATATATTGATTTCTTACATAATAGCTTATTCGTCTCAGAGTCTTGAAACTTTAAAATTAGATTTTCAATTTTTTAATTAAAAATTTAAATAAATTCTGCATGAAAGATAGAACAAATAAAGTATTATTATAACTTAAATTTAATCAATTTAAAAAAAATCTGACGAAATATAATAAATGAAACAAGGTTGTTACAAATAACGAATGTTAAGTTAAAAATAGAAGTAATAAAACATAGAATTTAATCTTAAAAACTTGACAACAAAATATTTGTAATTTTATTTAAAACTCTAATGAAGACAACTTGATTTGTTGAAAAATTTAATTTAGATAAGGTATTTATAATCAATTATTTTCATTATCTAAAGAGTAATTTTCATATTCTACTAGAGAATATATATAAGGATAAATGTATAAAAATCTAATCAATATTTTTAATATGAAATAGTTTAAAATTGCATATTTGAATAAAATATCAGTTTTAATTAGTTTTGATTTTATCTTTGAATCTGTAAAATTCTTATTTTAAATTGAAAAAATCAGCCAATGAATAAGTAAATTTACTACATATAGTATTTTTCAAGAAACCTTTAAATAAAATTACACTATGAACTTTAATTATATTTATATTATATAATTTATAATTCTAAAATGTGTTATGAGTCATTTATATAAAGAAGAGATTGCTTTGTTGTAGGATTATAATTTTTAAGTACTTTATAGAATGTGATAAATTTAAATTATACAAAAAATCTAAGTAGAGGAAGGTTAAAATGATAATATTAATTTAATTAAATGACATCAAAAAAAATATTGATTTTGAATACATTCTTGTTCATCTTAATGGATTTGGCAACGATTTCAATCTTGCTTTTTGAATCAGTTTAAGAAGAGATAGGATAAATATTAATGATTTCATTGATAGTTGGATTTGGATTGTTTGTAATATTATAACAGATTCTTGTTTATACTGAGTGGAAATTGAATATAAAAAACAAATTAAATTTGGTTTCATTTTTTGGAAAGATCTTTATTGTTTGGATTGTGGGTGTCAAATTGTGTACTAATCAATATCTATTGATTTTATTCTAAATATATATGACTTCAGAATGTTATAGAGGAAATTCATTATAATACTTGTTTATTTTTATGATGATTCTAAATTTATTCGAATTCAAAAAGTTTATAAATTTTGGATATGATTAACTCATAAACTCAATGTAAATTATTATATTGATAATTCAACATTTTTATTAAGTAAAGAAATTAGATGATAAATTTCACTAATCATATGGACAAGTATCAACTGGAGGTGGATAGATATAATAAACCTTTGCAATGATACAAGAGTCTAGAAGAAGTATTCAAATTATAAATTCATTAAAATTGATGGAGGATGAACCATGGTTAGACCAGTAAAAATATTTAATCTAATTAGAAAATGGTTATAATATGAGAAGTACATAGTATTGAGTAGAGATTTAAAGTTGAAATTTTATAGTTTTGATGTCAATATTTTGAGTAAATCTTAAGAATTAACAGAAGATTAGAATGAAATTGTTGATTAACTGTTAGATTAAGGAGTAAAGTTTATATCAAGACTAGACAATAGTCAAAACTCTCTCTTCTGTCAAAAAGGAGTGACTACATTGAGGTAAGTGTTAGAGAATTAGTTGTAAACATAGATTAATTACGAACATTATTATTAAACATTTCAGATGCAAAGTCATACATTAGATATACAAAAGTATTTAGTAAATGTTTTTGGTTTAATGGGTAGATCATAAATGTATTATGTAATGCATTTTTAACTTGTACCAAAACTAGCAATTGAGATAAACACTAATATATTCGATATGTGTAAATCCCTTTCTCATGAATTAGGAACTAATCTCAATTGTATTCAAAGTTTATCAGAAATAGCATTACAAAAATCATCTATCACTTAAGATATTAAAGACAACATTATTTAACCCATTCTCACTAACAGTTAATAATTAAATCTAATTATCTCCAATATAAGAGATTATAGTTCAATAGAAACTGATCAATTTTAATTGAGTCTTTAAACATTCAATATTCTAGATGAAATCAAATAAATTGCTGACTTCTTTCAACTTACTTGTTAATAAAAAGGAATAAATTTAGTTTTACCAACTGAATCTTGTATTATTAATTCATTATTAGTTCCTATTTTTAATGATCGAGATCGATTTCGCTAAGTAATCTTTCAACTAGTGTCTAATGCTGTTCGTTTCACTATTACTGGAACTATCTAAATTTTGATCAAATAAAAAGATTTATCATATGAAATTATTGTTTCAGATACTGGAATAGGAATGGTTAGCAATTCTACTTTTAAATTAGGTTAGTTAAGAGGAGAATAATCTTAGAAGAATCTTAGAATAAAAAGTAATGCTGAGAGTATCAGAAAATAGTATTGGTTCAAGTCTAGGCCTATTTATTAGCAATTTATTAGTCAAAAAAATGAATGCTGATGAAGATTGCAAAATTCAATTTCATTCTAACAAAACAGGATCATCTTTCTATTTCTCCATTAAAAACATGTCCGAATTCAAAGATAATATTAATAAACTCTAATAAGTTAAATTTCATAGAACAATCGTAAAATTCTAAACCATAAATTCTTACTATGAAAATATTAATGATATCCAAATAAAATTTGGTTAACCAACATTTAAATCTATTACTAGTGGATAATCCAATTAAGATGATGGCAATATTACTGTTTATTCAAAAGAAATTGAAGAAAATAAATAAACTCTTCAACCTCTCTAATCCCTTATTCCATAACTCTAAGATACTATTTAAGCTTATTCTCTTAAAAGCACATGTTGTTCAAGAGTTTTAATCGTTGATGATGAATATTTTAATATTATGGCATTGTAAATGTTAATGCAATAATATTCTGCCATTTGTGATAAAACCTATAATGGAATGGAAGCTATTGAATAAATAAATGAAAAATTAATTAATCCTTGTTCAAAATGTTAAAACAGTTGCTATTAACTAATCTTCCTTGATATTAATATGCCAATTATGGGTGGAATTGAAGCTGTTAAAATTATTAAAAGAATGATGAATAATAGAATAATTAAAAAGGTTTATGTTATTGCCAACACTGGATTTAGTGATTTGGAAACTAAGGAAAAAGCATATGATGCTGGTATAGACTTTTTTATGACTAAACCTTTAAACATTATGACTTTTAAGAATATAGCATCCAAAATATTCCCAAGAGGATGAAATAAATTGATAATACTTCTAAATATTTATATTAATAAATCTATTTACAAATGAAAGCTATTCCTTTTTAAATACATTCGTATTATAATTTTGATATTTTTTGTTTATTTTTGATGTAGTTGTTTCTATCAATCCTTTTTTGTTTTTAATTTTCTCTTAAATATTCAGTAACTACGTACCTCAAATTAAAAACATCTACTTTTTATTCAAATCCACAAGTTTACATTGAATTATTATTATTCTCATTAGAATTTCTTATTTTTCATCTACTATTTCCTGCTTGTAATCCTATAAATTATAAAATCTTAAGAATTAATTCCACACATCAAAATATTAAAACAATTTTAGTAAATTATGAATGACATTAAAAGTAAACTAAAAAGAATATAATAAATGAAATAACTCAAATGTTGTAATCCTCATTTTTATTTTAAATATTAATTATTTGAATTTATTTATAAATCCAATAATAATTATGATAAAACATAAATATTTAATTTCTACTTTATTCTATATAACATTATTAAGAATCTTTAAATTCCTGAAAATAAATGATGAAACTATTTACATTATTCATTTCATTAATATAAATCTTTTATTTCTTAATATATTTATAATTATAAATTATATATTTTAAGAAATGAAATTTAATGCTTCAGTTTTGATTTTATTTTCTTTTAACAAAATGATCAAAAAAATTTCATAATATGGCTATTTATATTATCATAAAACATACGCAATTCCTTTAACATTAAATGAAGTTTGACTCTACTTT